AAAGAGAACTCAAACTGATTCAGGAAGCAGATCGTCAAGCTTATCCATTTTACAAGATGATCAAGAAGGCTTTTCACCAACCTCATCAAACGCACTGGTACTTGTCCAAAACGCACCAATTGTCTCCTCCTACAATGAGAGAATCCGCCCCATGCTTGATGCCATTGACAAGCTCCGCAACCTCATGGTTATGGATGAAGGCATCCAGCTGCCCACCATTGTTGTTGTGGGAGACCAGTCATCTGGCAAATCCAGTGTTCTTGAGTCCCTCGCCGGCATCAGCCTGCCGCGTGGACAAGGCATCTGCACAAGGGTTCCTCTCGTAATGAGGCTTCAGCACCACTCTGATCCTGAACCAGAGCTTTCACTGGAGTACAATGGCAGAGTTGAGCACACTGACGAGGACAACATTTCGGAGGACATTGTGAATGCCACCAATCTGATTGCTGGGGACAGTAAAGGAATTTCAGACACCCCATTGACCTTGTTGGTGAAGAAGAATGGTGTGCCTGATTTGACCATGGTTGACCTCCCTGGAATCACTAGGGTTCCAGTTCGTGGCCAGCCTGAGAATATCTACGATCAAATCAAAGATATAATCATGAAGTATATAAAGCCCGAAGAGAGCATCATTTTGAATGTGTTATCTGCTTCTGCTGATTTTAGCACATGTGAGTCAATTAGTATGTCGCGGAGTGTGGACAAAACTGGTGAGAGGACTCTGGCTGTGGTTACAAAGGTTGATATGGCACCAGAGGGACTGCTGGAGAAGGTTACAGCTGATGATGTGCATATTGGTCTTGGCTATGTCTGCGTAAGGAACCGGATTCGAGATGAAACGTATGAGGAGGCGAGGGCTATTGCGGATCGATTATTTGAAACTGATCCTTTTCTTTCGAAGATTGATAAGTCTATGGTTGGAATTCAGGTTTTGGCTGACAAGTTGGTCCAAATTCAAGCTGCTAGCATAGCTAGAAACTTGCCTGATATTGTAAAGAAGATCAACGACAAGCTGAATTCTTACCTTTCAGAGCTCAACAAAATGCCGAAAAAGCTGTCATCTGTTGCTGAGGCCATGACTGCTGTTACGCAGATCATTGGAACATCCAAAGTGAAAGAGTGAAAGATAACAATAATCTATGTTTGAGCAACTTGAGTTTTGCCGTTTGTATTCTATCCTTTATATTATATTACAATGAGAAATAATATACAAATATCATCCACCAATCACGGTAGAGATCATTGAGTATGTTGGAGACACCATTGAGTATGTTGGAAAGATATTTTAAGTGGGCATTATGGCTTTGACCAGAGAATGTTGGGTGTCATCATTTCCCATCATTTTATCACGTGTGTTCTGTCTATCATCCCCCCGCAAGCTCAGCGGCCTAGGACGGATGAGCTTGGACTTCAAAAACTGGAATTGTGGCAGAGACAAGCCTTTGGTAAAAATGTCTGCAAGCTGGTGATGTGTGGAAACATAGCGGACATCAAGAAAGCGATCAACAACTTGATTACGCACATAATGATAATCCACCTCCACATGTTTAGAGCGAGCATGAAAAACAGGATTGGAAGCCAAAGCTAGAGAGCTAATATTGTCACACCAAAGCACAGGAGGATGCACAGGAGTGACCTGAAGATCGCGGAGTAAGAGACGAACCCAATACAAGTCAGCAGCTGTAATAGCAAGTTGCCTGTACTCAGATTCAGTACTAGAACGGGAAACCGTGTGGTGCTTTTTAGAACTCCAGGACACTAAATTGGGCCCAAAAAATATGCAAAAACCACCTGTGGAGCGACGTGTGTCGGGATCACCAGAGTCGGAGTCAGAAAAGGGAGTCAAATGAGTATCACCTGGTTGAAAAAATAAGCCTTCATGCAAGGTACCCTTGATATAACGTAAGATGCGTTTGACAGCAGACCAATGACTAGTGCTAGGCTTATGCATGAATTGGCACACTTGGTTGACTGCAAAGGTGATGTCAGGCCTGGTGAGTGTAAGGTATTGCAAGGCTCCAACGATGCTGCGATATTCGGTTGGATTTGGAAGAGAGTCACCATCATACAAACTGAGTTTGGAACCAGAACCAACAGGAGTAACACATGGTTTAGCAGCTAACAAATTCATACGCTTGAGGAGCTCAGAAGCATACTTAGTTTGGGTCAAATATAACCCACGAGATGTGCGAGAGGCTTCAAGACCAAGGAAATAGTGAAGAGGGCCTAAATCCTTCATGGCAAAAATTGTACTAAGGGAGGATATAAGCCAATCAACACGAGAAGAATTATTCCCTGTAATCAAGATGTCATCAACATAGATTAAAAGGATGAGAAGAACACCGTCAATATTATAGATAAATAATGAATGATCTGCCTGGGAGCCAAAGAAACCGAGATCAGTAAGATATTGAGAGAAACGTTGAAACCAGGCTCGTGGAGCTTGTTTCAAGCCATACAGGGACTTATGTAAGTGGCACACATATTGTGGATATATGGGATCCTCAAACCCTCGGGGCTGCTGCATATAAACCTCCTCAGTAAGTTGTCCATGTAAAAAGGCATTTTGAACATCCAACTGGCGGATTGTCCAATTGTTGGAGACAGCCAAAGCCAAAACAAGACGTATAGTAACGTGCTTCACGACTGGACTAAATGTTTCTGTGTAATCCAAGCCAGATTGTTGATGAAAACCATTGGCAACTAAGCGTGCCTTATAACGTTCGACTGACCCATCAGAATTCTGCTTAATTTTAAATACCCATTTGCAAGGAAGAACATGCATTGAAGAAGATCGGGGAACTAGTGTCCATGTGCCAGCATCCTGTAGCGCCTGGAATTCAAGAGACATGGCACGACGCCAATGTGGGTCCTTATTGGCTTGGGCAAATGTACGGGGTTCTGTGTCATGTACCTGTGGCATGGTTAGCATAGCATATTTTGGATTTGGTTTGACAATACCTGATTTGGATCGGGTAACCATTGGATGACCAATATGCGAGGAAGAAGGGGGAACTGGAATGGAACCAGATGGAGATAGAGGAGGTATGGGAGAAGGAGTACTGTGAGCTGGGAGAAGAGGTGAAGATTGTGTGTTGGACACGACTGAAGGAGGTTGGATGGTTGGTGGCGGAGACGAAGAGGAAGCAAGGAGGTTATCATATAGTGGAGAAGATAACAAATTTTGATCAGATAAGTGAGAGGAGCTAGAAGAAGAAGGGAAATTAGACATCGTATTAGTAGAAAGAGGAGGAGAATCAGTTACCTGAGGGGAAGAAATAAGTGGGGGAGAAGGAAGAACCACCGTGGGAGACACATCCGAAGGCAAGAGAGATGAGGCGCACCGCTGCTGAAAAGGGAATGTATTTTCATCAAAAACGACATGGCGGGAAAGATAAACACGACCATTCTGCGAATCATAACACCTGTAACCTTGATGATGCAGAGAATAACCAATAAAGACACACTGCTTGGAGCGAAATTGAAGTTTGTGTTTATTATATGGACGCAAGTATGGGTAACATGCACAACCAAACACGCGTAAATATGAATAGGAAGGAGGACGACCAAACAACTTTTGATAAGGTGAGATATAGTTTAATTGACGAGCAGGCAATCGGTTAATGAGATAAACAGAGGTATTAAATGCATCAACCCAAAAATTATTAGACATGCCAGCGGTTGCAAGAAGTGTGAGACCCATATCAACTATGTGACGCTGTTTGCGCTCAGCTGCCCCATTTTGTTCGGGAGTGTATGGCACAGAAATACGGTGAGTAATGCCATGTGTTTGTAAAAAATCTTGGAAAGAATTGCTTAAAAATTCTGTACCACCATCAGTTTGCAAAGATTTAATACGAAGCACCTGGCTAACAGACAACAAATTTTCCACATTAGTTTTAAATTTTTGAAAATAGGATAAAGCTTCAGATTTGTAGCGCATAGGAAAAATCCATGTATATCGAGTACAATCATCTAGAAATAAGATAAAATACTTGGATCCTTTATTTGACACAACTGGAGAAGTCCAAATATCGCAATGTATCAATTGCAGAGGCAATACCGAAACAGAACTAGACAAAGAGAATGGAAGCTTTGTACTTTTGCCCATAGGGCAAGAAGAACAAAATTTAGACTCAGAATGACTAAGTGGAACACAGGAAGCAATTTTCTGAAAAACAACACTTGAAGGATGACCTAGACGTTGATGCCAAACAAATGAGGATGTACGTTCACCAATCACAGCAAATGCTTTAAAAACTGGCAGTGACGGACGAAATGGATACAATCCATTTTCACTCTTGCCTTGGAAAAGCGTCTTCCCCGTTAGCGTGTCCTTCACAAAAAAGGAATCAGAAGTAAGGATAAAATAACAATTGTTATCTTTTGCAAATTGGTTAACACTTAACAAGTTGGCAGACACAGAGGGACAATGTAACACATGATTCAGTTTAAAACCAGATAGACTAGTTGAACCAATATTTGAAATGGCCAAACCTGCACCATTACCAACAGCCACTTGATCCGAACCCGGGTATGGAGTGTGAAGTTGAAGATTGCCTAAATCAGCAGTAACATGGGTTGAGGCACCACTGTCAGCATACCATGTATCTGTTTTCTCAAGTCCAGATGGAGATGCAGCAACCAATGCAGTAGAGGAAAGTTGTTGAGGAGGCATACGACCTTCTAACAGATTAGTCAAGCGATGACAATTAATCGCAGTATGGCGAAAGCCACCACAAAACTGGCATCGAACCTGGTTCGTAGAAGGAGCTAAGAATGAGCCATAAGTTCCACCACGACCTTGAGAAAGAGCACCTGGTCGGGAGGAATTGAAATTACTCCGAAAGGAATTGGAACCACGACTTGCAGAAAACGAACTGCCACCACGATTGACTGTTGGGCCAGAGTTGGTAAAACCACTGCGATTGCCAGAGGAAGAGCCTGCGCGGCCCCTAGAAACAAAGGAACCACCACGACCGCGTCCTTGATAAGAACTGTGTGGTTGGGAGGCAAATAAAGCATTAGAGGTGCCATCAGAAGGAAGGGAAGAATGATAATCTTCCATTCGGGTTTCTGCGTTAAGTAATAAAGCTGTTACATCATCAAGTGTCGCAGCTTTTTCCCGACTTAAAATTGAATTGACAGTGCTTTCAAATGCAGCACCAACACCATTAAGTATAAGGTCGATGAAGTCCTCATCATCAACTGGCTTGCCTGCAAGGACAAGTTTATCAGCGATGTTGCGCATCTTATCTATATAGGCGGTAATGGATAAATTACCCCTCTTTGTTGTTTGTAGCTGATGCTTTAATTGGAGTACTCGAGATCGAGACTGAGAAGAATACCGACGTTGCAAAGACTGCCACACCTCCTGAGAGGTTGCACACCTTGTAACTGTTGCCAAAACAGTGGGACTGAGAGTGGAAACTATCCAACTCAGAAGTTGCTGATCTTGCTTCTGCCATGTAATATAATCAGCTGATATGGTTGTACCATCATCTTGAAGTTTTCTTGGGCAGGGCTTTGTTCCATCGACATAGCCCATAAGTTCATTGCTGCGCAGGACAGGAAGAAATTGAGCTAGCCAAAGTGTGTAGTTGTCGCCGTCAAGTTTAATGGACACAAGGCAGGAGACGTTGGGAAGAGAAGATGCAGGTTGGGAGGCCATTGGAGGATTTCAAAGAATAAGATAATTGATTAACCCACGTAGGGCTCTGATACCATGAAAGAGTGAAAGATAACAATAATCTATGTTTGAGCAACTTGAGTTTTGCCGTTTGTATTCTATCATTTATATTATATTACAATGAGAAATAATATACAAATATCATCCACCAATCACGGTAGAGATCATTGAGTATGTTGGAGACACCATTGAGTATGTTGGAAAGATATTTTAAGTGGGCATTATGGCTTTGACCAGAGAATGTTGGGTGTCATCATTTCCCATCATTTTATCACGTGTGTTCTGTCTATCACAAAGAATCACTTAAGAAAATTCTTGTGAGGGGAGAATTTGATGAGTTCCCGGATGACAAACACATGCATTGCACGGCTAGGCTTGTTGAGATGCTCAATAAGTGCTCAGATCAGCTTCACGAGTGCAATGAGAGTGACTCCAAAAGTAATTTCTTACAGGAGGAGATTGCGATTTTGGAGGAGGCAAAAGGTATCAACCTTCCCAATTTTGTTCCGCGCAATGCTTTTCTTATAGTTTTGCAGGGTAAAGTTAAGGGGATTTCGAGCATACCTATTGGGTTTGTTGGGCAGGTTTGGAGTTATATTGAGGATGTGGTTTTGTCTGTGTTAATGAGAAATACAGAAAACTATTACCATGTTCAATTGTCTACCAGAAGAGCAGGCCATAATCTTATTGAAAAGAAGAAAGAAAGATCGATTAATTGGATGACGGAGATAGTGGAAATGGAGAAACTAACTGATTATACATGTAATCCGGAATATCTATCCGAATGGCATAGGCTCATGACTAAACAAGAAACATTCATCCAAAAGGTCTTGCATGGCGCTGAGACAAACATAAATGTAGAGGGAATTGGGATGGTTGAAGTTGGAGGTCTAAGGAAGTACTCACAAGTCCTATTGTCTCAAGCTTTCGACTTGAAAATGAGGATGACTGCGTATTGGAATGTTGTCCTGAGAAGGTTGATTGATATCATGGGTTTGCATTTGCAGCTGAGTGTTTCAAACCTTGTGAACAAGGACATGGAGATGGAGATTATGAATGAGCTACTGGGACCTAACCATGGTGGTGGGATTGAGAGGATGCTGGAGGAACCTCCATCAATGGCAGTGAAGCGCCAGAAGCTCATCAAGAGCATCAAAAAGCTCAAGGAGTCTAAAGAGGTTGTGTGTAAGATCATGGATGACAGGTTTACTTACGCCGATTACCTTGTGTGATAGATAACTAAGGAGTCCAGTTAAATTATGGTATGTTTCGTGTGAAATAAGGCTTTTTGCCAATGATGTGTGGTTGATCTGTTTGTACTTAATTATGGATCTGCATTTTGTTTATCATGTACCTGGTTGGTTGATGTTCTTGTGTGGATGATCTGTTTCTACTTAATTATAAGCACATTCTGTTTTTGTCTTTTGGGTTGCTAAACCTTCCCAAGCTTGTTCCTGGAATAGGAGGAAATTTCTATCCTCTGTTCCTTCCTAGATCTCTTAATTCATGACACTGTGGGTGATGGTAGAAACACCTTCCTTTGTCATGATCACATTTTGAACCCTTTTGGGGGCTTTTCTATTTGATTTGGGACCCTTGTTAATCTTCCATTTGGTCAATGGGAATCTATTGGCATTTGCTTTTGCCAAGCTCAATGAGAATAATTAATCATTTCCCAATGGAGCTCTGGCCTTCTTGGCACTTGTTCTTTAGAATTTTATAGGCCCTGTTTGATGTGCCGGATTGGATTAGATAGATTCAATTAAATTGAACATGGATCCTAACCATTGTTTGGTGGACTTCAAATATATAATGGACTGGATATGGTAGGTATTGGACACCAATCCAGAATATGAGCGGCTCCAAAACCCATCACTAGAGTGAAGACTTTTAGACCATCTACAAAGGTAAAAGACTCAAACCCCAAATTTCACCTCTCGAAATACAACTTTTAATCTATACATAGGACTCAAACAGTATTACAAATTATGTATACACTTTACAAGTTTATGGAACGTTGATGTCCAAGCATTGTGATATAATTCCTTACTATTTTGTAAACCTTTGTGTTTACAAGAATAACGACCACCTTTACTTCTCCAAGGCCAACTCTTTCCTCAGCCTTGTAATGGGGATCCTTTCTATTGTAAATCATAGTATTACAAGATTATGGATACACTTTATGGAATGTTGAGGTCTAAAACATGGTAAAAAAAGGTCCTTAATATTGTAAACCCTTGTGTTTACAAGAATAAAGACCACATTTACTTATGTAAGGTCCACCCTTACTTCTACAATTACCAAACATGGAGATAGTAATTGCATAAATGAAGTGTGTATTGGACTGCAATTGCATTTTATGTACAAAAGACGTGGGACCTTGTCGGATAGTACAATAGATCGATCTTAATCAAGTTTTAATTCTAGTCCATATGGTGATTACAAATTTTTAGGTAAGTTTTTATTTGAACCCAATTATTTTATAAGTAAACTCAACCAAGTAGACATGTCAATGGATCGCATTTGGAATCGAATCCAATTTGAATTCTATGTAATTAATAGGAGATGGATTAGACTTCTCAATATGATAATTTGATTACAATCCGAATCCGATAATCCAATTATAAATGGATACGGATATGGATTATAATTGATTAGATCCGATAATAATCCGATATTACTTAGTATGAAGTATAATTTAATTTTTCTAGGCTTTATATTAATATTTTATATGTGTAAATGAGTAATTTTAGTTTTATATGCACTAATAATACACTTAGGGCTCGTTTGGTACACCGTATTAGACTTTGGATAGGAGTAAATAGTCTATGTCAAGTGTTTGGTGTCAACTTGTATTATTTAATTGCCCGACTATTTTATACGGGTTGGGCTTTTAATACTCTCCTTACCTGACTAACTAATACAACACATACACCCCGGATTAGATAATACACGCTTAATTATACAGCTAGGGAAAAAGAACACGCGTTCTACGAAAAAAGTCAGACGCTCTTTTCATCTTCTTCTCCCTAGGGTTCTTCTCTGCTATCTTCTCCACAGGTTATTTTCTTCACTCTTCTTTAGGTATCCATCGCTCACTCTCTCTCTTTTTCATACTCTCTCTAATATGCTTCTTCTTACTTCTTCTCTATTCTTTATATATTTCAATTTTTTATTAAATTTTTGTGGAAATTAGGTTATTAATTTTTCTTTTTTGACATTTTTTTAATCAAATGTTTTCTTTGTATGTGATATATTGATTCGACGTTGTGGGAATATTTAGATTGTTGGTATTAAACAGAGTAGTGCTAGTTTTCTTCCAAAAACAAACAACTGTGCTAGTGTTGATAGTTTAGTTGAATACATACATACATGACGATTAGGAGAGCAAAATTACAAAATTAAAATTGTATGAACCTGAATTCTAGGAACCAATTTTTTTTTTGGGCGACCATGGGCCATTTATGATGTTTTCCTCTTGAACCATTTTCTTGATTGATAAATTTTCTCTTTTCCTTTTCTTTTTACGATTCCCAAGCTTGAGGCCTTGGCTCTTTTGATTGCAATGCTTCTGTTTACTTTCTCCTTCTTCTTGTTGTACATGGAAACCTTGATGTCCAGTACAGACATATGTAGATCAATATTCATAATACAGTTCTAATAGGTAGTCTTTTGTCATGTGTAGAATTCTACTTATTGTTGTATTATTCTAATTTTACATGTAGTCTTGTGTAATGCATGATTATTTATATTGCTAAAATTAATGCATGGTTATTTGTATTACTTTTACTAAATTTTTTTCCTTTATATTATGCCTAGATATGGATGAAAGAAAGATTGTGGCATACTTTATTATTAGATTGTGGTTCTTGCATATCATGGTTTGGTGCATGATGTGGTTCATGACAAACTACAATTTGGAACAACGACGCCAACAACGGAATGCCATTAGGAGTCAAAGGTTTTTCAGGATTGCAACTCGGTCAAATTATTTAGATAGCATTATAGGAATTGATGACATACAATGTGTGAACCAAATTAGGATGGATAGGAGAACTTTCCATTATTTATGTCAATTGAATTTGGTACTGTTTTTATTAACGTATGCGAGTATGTTGGAATTTTTATGAGATACTACAATTATGATAATGGGTTATATGAAAAAAAAAATCTTGGCAAAAACAATTGAAAAACAAATCTTGTCATATGAATCTTACAACAACAAAAAAAATTCATGTCATTTGAATCTTATTTTCCATTAAAATTATCAAAGATTTTTTATTTATTTTTAAAATAGTATGATCTGATGTTATCCGGAACATCACCAAACACAGTATAACTTAGTCAGACTATTTATCTGGAACAGCACCAAACGCCTTATAATATTATGGATAAATAGTCAGTACTCTCCGGAACAGATTAGTACTATCCGACAGAAATTAGTCAGTACAGTCCGACGTACCAAACGAGCCCTAAAACTAATTTTTATGATAAAATATCACAAATTGATATAAAAAGTAGATAAATACAATAAAAGAACAAGGCTACTAATGAAATTTTGATTTTTTGTACATCACAAAATAAATCAGATAATAATCCGATCCGATCTGAATTCGATGCGTAACGAATATGGATTGATAGGTGCAATCCGCTAGTCCAAATACAATATGAATCCGATAATCCAATTATAAATGAATTTGAATTTAGATCGAGGTATATCTGATCCGAATCCGACTCGCTTATAGGTCTACAACCAATGTTTCTTTTATCCAAAAGAAAAAAGTTTCTTTTATCCAAAAGAAAAAAGTTTCTTTTATAAAAAAATAAAAATTCGTTCATTATAAAAATATTTTAAAAAAAATTTCAGTATTACATTAATATATATATATATTTAAAGAAGGAAAACTACAACACCATGGGACTGTGAACAGTTGCAGTGGCGTTCTATGAGTTTGTCTTAAGTTCTTTTAGTTTTTTTAATATTTCTGGGTAATCAAAATAATTATTTTATACCCAATAAATTTGTAGCTATTATTGTTTTTGGTTACAAGTTAACCCAAAAAAAAAAAAAACAATTTGGTTGATTGGATTTATATATAAAGTTTTAAGGGTTAATGACCTAAATGGTACCCAAATTATTGCCCCAGTATCATTTTGGTCCACCAACTAAAATTTTCAATTCAAACGTCCTTAAACTTTTCATAATGTACCAATATGGTCCATCCGTCAAAGTCTGTTTATTATTCCGTGAAATCGAGGGACAAAACCGTATTTTTAGGTGAGTATCCTCCTGTAAAAGGGTTAATGACCTAAATGGTCCCCAAACTATTGCCCCAGTATCATTTTGGTCCACCAACTAAAATTTTCAATTCAAACGTCCTTAAACTTTTCATAATGTACCAAATTGTTATTGTGCTTAATTTCTTTTCTTCTTTATTTATAAATAAAATAAATTGAATTTGATTGTTAGGGTTCTTGTTATAGGTGGAGAGTTGTTAAGAAATTAGATTTTTCTGTTAACTCTGAGAGTAGGTTGAGTGTTGAATCCATTGATGCACAAATTGAAATGGCCCCAAATTCTAACCCTAAACCCAAGCTTTCAACAACCACCCCATACATTCCACCGGAGCTTGTGTTCGACATTCTTTTATAGCTTCCGCCCAAGGATTTTATGTAATTCGTGTATGTTTGCGAAGCTTGGAATGCCATCATCCATGGCCGACATAAAGACTGAAACTTGCTGAATTACTAACAGTGAATCTTGCAACAATTTAGTGGCAGTTGGGAGGGAGGAGGAAGAAGAAGAAAATGGGAGTTTTGGGGACCAAAATGATACTGGAGCAATAGTTGGGGGACCATTGAAATCAATAGCCCGGGAGTTTTGTGTTAGCTTCGCAAAAAGTCGTATATACCCTTCAAAAACTCAGTCACGTGGCCATCGCGTGATCAGAAGTCACGGAATCTGTAATGGATGGACCATATTGGCACATTATGAAAAGTTTAAGGACGTTTGAATTGAACATTTTAGTTGGTGGACCAAAATGATACTGGGGCAATAGTTTGGGGACCATTTAGGTCATTAACCCAAGTTTTAAAATTTGATTGTGTTAGTTGGGTTAAGATTACTTTATCTAAAACGGTTAATCATTTTATTAGTCCTTGAACTTAGACCCGGTTTGCATTTGAGTACCTCAATTTCCATAATGGTTCTCGTGGTCCTTTCACTTCACTTTCGTTAGGACAAATGGTCATGCCATCAAATTTGTTAACTTTTTCTGTTAAATATAGGGGCAAAATTGTATTTTTATATTAAAACGAAAAAAATCATATCTTTAAAATAACAATAAAAGAAAAAAAAAACCAAAAAAAAAGAAAAATTAAGTTTGGGGGGAGCATAAATCGGAATAGAGGAGGAGAGAGAG